TCTACATCATCTACAATGAAAGAGGAGGACCTCAGAGTACTGTTACTAATGGATGAGCACACTCTGCATGCTTCAAATGTTTTAAAATGAAGTTTTATTCCAAGTGTCCCAAGTAGCCCCGTTCGACTGGGCTACTTGGGACACTCTTTTTTTGCTTCTGGCACCTTACAAATAGCATATATATATATGGAATTTTTTGTAGAAGCCATGTGATAGCCCTTGCAAAGAGCTTTGAAATGAGCCTAACTTGTTACTGAAATGTTTCATGGTAAGAAGTTATGAGTGAAAAACGTTCAAAATCATCCTGAGTATCCCCGGTTGACGGTATCATAGATGTCCACTATGCACTGGCTGCCTGGCAGCCGAGCCCAGTCTATAGTGGGAAAAAAACTAAAAAAGGTTAATTAGAGCAAATGTCTAATGATGACTAGACTATTGCCGTATTGGCTAGCCCGCCTTTTTCGAGTTTTCCTACACGGAAAACTCGAAAAAGGCGGGCTAGCATGTCAAAAAATTCACGGAATTCTCTTCCACCTATCTTGATTATCAGTATATAGTAGATGAGTTACGTAGTATGAAAACTCGTACTTTAAAAAAATTGTGTAAGTTAAACCTATAGCTCACAGCCTCACACATATTCCATCTCTCTTTGGATCATAGTATGAACAATTTAATACAACCTTCGAACTTGCATTTAGACATACGTGTTTAAATCAGCGCGGCAGGAATAACAACTTTGACTCCGTCGTCCGTTTTCCTTTAGAACAGAAACTCAAAACAGTTCACTTGGTGCCTGATTACTTAAGCAATTTATTTATTTAAAAATTAAAACTTTCTTTACCATTAGAAACTAAACACAACATTTAAACTACTAAAGTTTGTCAAACTGACTGAAATACTGATCAATAGTGTTGTTTTATTTTTTTTGGGATGTTGCATAACGAAATTGTCAAGTTATTATATTTTTTTCTTAGGACAGCTGTGAATATGGTATATTTGAAATTTTTTGTTAGCATAAGAGTGTGAACTTTTAATTTTTTGATGCTAGTAAAAGTTTTTAGGCAGTGTGTATGACCGATTTAAAGGTCGTGACCGTAGGTCACCATGCACCCCAATTCCAATTCCAGTAAATAGTGAACCGATGCGTTAATAATTTAATTTCGGTGATGAGCCATACATTTTCGCCATACATTAAAGAAGCTAAAATAACCGTTAGCCTTGAAGTTAATGAGATATAGATATAATGCATTTAAAATGTCATGAGAAATATCAAAATAGGGAGGTGTTGACATCACTAGAGTCGTAGCTTAAAACACGGTGACCGCTGAAGACACGGAATGGCTGACAGATTTTTGATTTGATGCCGGGTTGAAGGGGAAGAAGTAGTCGTGCGCAGACCGCCTGTAACACCTGGACTCAGCAATTATTGTTTAATTTAGTGCAAGTCTTCATCCTCTCACTTTCAGCTTCTCCCTTTCCTCTCTCAGTTGGTACTTGTTCTCCAGGTTGTCAGCAGTCTCGCGATGTGTAGCAAATTGTCATTAGATCCAGTGCTCTTCACTAGCTATAAGGTAGCTAGACGACCAGTTTGTGTGAGATACGTAGCAGTTGCTCGCAGTATGGAGTGCTGAACTCTTCTGGGGTAATTGCCTCCACCGAGAAGCACAGAAAAGCGAGGGACTCCCAGGGCATTGATGCTTGATATCATCACTTTTCTCTTATGGTCATATAGGGCACAGATCAGGAGGTAGTGTTCAACTGTTTCTTCAATCCTACAATGCAGACAAATGGAGTGTTAGCCATCTAAAATCGATAAAGGTAAGAGCGGACTCCAACATGTCCCAGACGAAGGCGTGTTAAAACAACTGAAACACGGCGAGAATGACAAGCAATCCATGGGACTGGAGACAACCCTGAACGAATGGATGCAAGATGGTCGCCCCGTTCATCAGTAGCCACCGCAGAAACCCATTCCAACTCCCAAAAAGTAAGGAAGCATGACCGAGGCATAGCAAGGGCATCCGAGCAAGGTAGAGGGAACAAGGCAGAGTGATGCAGGTGATGTCCCAGTTTGGCAGCAGCATCAGCGCGTTCATTACCAACAATGCCACAGTGAGCCTTGACCCACTGCAGATGTACAGAACTTGAATCATTCTGGCTGACAGATTTAAATTATTTGCTTCTGAACCATGTATAGAAAATTAATGCCAGGCGGAAAGTTCATGAATTTTAAAAGAACCTCCACTGATGTTTTGCGGAAAATTTTCAATATTCACACATGAATTAATACCATGACACACAGGAATTAATATCATCCAAGAAACATATTTGTGAATTGCTTCGGAAATAATGTTGATAATAGACTGTTAAATTAATCGAAAAATAAAAAACTTAAAAAAAACTGGTGCAATTTATACATTAAATGAAATATTTATACCTTTACAAACGCAGGTTTCTCAAAAAATTACTGAGTTTTATAATTTTATATAATTACCTTTATGAAGTTACAGTTAACTAGTTATATAAATACTGGCCACTTTGCCGATATCTACCAGGATTTTCACAAATAGTTGCGGGTTTTGGTCCCGCAACTTAAACCCTATCCCGTGATGACCAGGTGCTAGTAAGTATTATTTATTAACTTGATTTAGAAAATTCATTGAGCAAATGATGCAAGCGTTGCACAAAATTAATATAATTTATAATATAAATTTATAATATAAATATATATAATAATAAAATTTAATAATTTTATATTCAAATAGATGTATTCAGAATAAAAGCGTCAATGATATTGTTTTAATAAAACTGTTAGTGAACTTCTTACTTGTTTTTTTTTTACCTTTTATAACATAAATAAAATTTTTCATCTACTCTGGAAACGCAGTCATATTGTTCTTATAATTAATAGTTGTTTTAAAATTAATATCTCGCTCTCCTTATGGGGAGGAGAGAAATTGATATCTCGCTTAGAGAATAAATAGAGAAATTAAATAAATTAATTAATCAATTAAATTAATTAAATTTAATTAAATTATTAATTAAATTAAAATTAAATTAATAGAGAAGTTATTAATTAATAGAGAAATTAATATTTAAAATTAATATCTCGCTCAGTGTTCGGCTTCAGTACGTCGAACACTGAGAAAAATGAAGATACATTGTCCGAAAAACGAAGCACTTTTAGCCCTTGAGTGAGTCATTCTGATACAGTTTGGCCCGGTGAAACGGCGTTTTTAAACAGATTCGCATATCTTCTCTAATTGAGCAATGAAAAGATATGAAATTAAAGCTATATTTTTACTTTACTTTTTACTATCACTAATGCAATTTTTACTTATACTTTTACTGATGAAATAATAATTTTTACTTTAATAAAAATTGAAGAGTCTGGAGAGGTTGACAGTAACGCTGGATCGATTAACCCCTTCTATGCAAGGTTATAATAACATGCATTAATCATGTAGAACAGGTTTTAGCAAGCAGTTAACTTGTTGTAGTTAGGTAGTTAGGTTAACTTGTAGTTAGTTTAACTTCTTGAAAGACCAGGTAATAACACCAGGTTAACCTTCAATGTTATAACGTTCCTGTTCAAAATGCGCCGTACACAAAAAAAATAAATAAATAAATAAGTGAAATTAGAAAAACTTTTTCCTAATAGCAACGCATTTATTGACCGCATGTGGTCCATCCTGAGCCCGTTGGTCAGGACTCGTCATACTATAAAATCATACGTAACAGTTTATTATATATAACAATATACCGAAGAATTCACTCAGAAAAGTAGTGAAAACTTTTTCTTGATTATGCGATGCACTTTTTGCCCTTATGTGGGTCATTCTGACCCAGTTTGGCCCGGTAAAAGAGCATTTCAGTGTCACGTGCTTTGGGTGAGAAAATGTTTCCCTTGTTTGACAATATGACCCTTTCAGAACGCCCGGTCACTAAAATATATATAAAATATTGGAAGCCGTTCAAACACAGATTTTATGATCACCACCGAGAATGTTTGTAGCCAACTTCATAAGTCGGCACCCGTAAACATACTCCGTAGATGTAAAGTTGCAAACTATGTTTGTGTTGCTTATCGCGTCAATATTACACTTGGAAACTCCGCGCATCCAGGTTCCAGGGCCCCTGGGAGGCTGGGACAGTGCGTCGCTAGACACTGAAGAAGACGGATGTGCGTCTTTCCAGAGCATTATACCCAATCTTTTCCTGTAACCATTATTTAACTTATTCACCCTTGTATAGTCATGTATTGAGGTGGTTTCAATTCTACAGTTTTGCAGTAGTGTCATTATTTGAATGATAATAATATTCCCTCTACATCTCAGCATTCAGCGCAATTTCATCAAATAACTGTGATGTCGACTGATTCTGAGCTGTCACCATATTTTTACAGCTTGCTGGATCTTTGAACCCGCAGCTCATTACGCCAATACAGCTGTTCATACACACTTTGTCAATTCATACAATATTTTTTTACAGCCAGCTGGGATCGAAACCGCAACTAATTATTCTTTGTAGAAAGTGTACCTGCGTCAGGAGAAATTAAATGTTCATCTAAACATATAGGAATTGTGACCGGGAATGTCGTTCAGATTTAGTTTACCAAGAAAATCTACGGGGCATAATTACAATATTTAGCTTAGCGGGAAACGTTAGCTCAGTAAATGATTTCAATCTAGAGTTTTTTAGATTGAAATATAACTATTTAATGCACTAATTTGTATAATAAATTAATAATAATGTTATAGTTATTGGTTCATTCATGATTCATATCAGACAGTGGGTTTGATGATATGAAACCAGGCCTCACAGTCACCGACACAAAAGGCGATTGGAAAATAATTAGAAAAATAGATTATGAAAATAATCCTGTTGCATGAACAATTATACTAAGTAAACTAATCAATCATTAAAATTTTTAAATTGAATGACAATAGTTTATATTAGGATATAATATAATAAAATAATATTTTTCAGACTTGGGCATGGGTTCCAAAATGAGTTCCGGTACGAAAAGGAATGATGATTCGGCAGAGGCAGTTAAGAAAATAATTTCTGGCAATGCTGATGATGGAGATCCAAAAAAGTAAAAAAGATCCAATGCCTTTAATGATAACTGAAAAAGATGCGTTATTTAAGCATTCGTTCGGTTCAAACAATGATAAAAATATATATGACGAGGGGAAGCCAAAATCGATTTTTCTTGAAGTAACCCATGGAAAAGTGAACAACACGGACGTTTTCGAAAAGGACAGCATGAAAGAAAACGAAGCTTTTCATGGGTATGACTCTCTTAAAAAGAACGAATCTAAGCAAAAATCGTCAGAAGAAAACACTGTGTATGAGACAAAAAGTCAAGAAAGAATCGCTGTAATATTTAGAGGTGATGATAATGCTGACAAACATTCACATATATCCGACAAATCTCTCGAGTTGGATCACCTGAACGACATTTCTGCGGTCGACAAAGTGAAACCTGGAATTTTCAGAACCTTTTTCGGAAAAGTCAACGAGAAACTCCAGAAAACGTCGCCGCAGTTGGATTGCATTGAAACGAAACAGGTTAATGATAATAATATATTCGACATGATTGAAGTCACAATAAAAAATTAGTCAAGATTATTTAATTTATCATCGTATAATTCCACAAGATAATTATAATTAAAAATGATATAATTCAATATAATGATTACTTAATTTCGACATGATGTAATTCAACATGATTAATATAATTCAACACGATCATTACATTTCAACATGACATAAATCAAAAAAATTATTACAATTCAACATGATTATTATAATTAGACATGACTATTTTAATTCAACATGATATAATTCAGCATAATTATTATAATTAAACATGATATAATTCAACATGGTTATTATCATTCAACATTATATAATTCAACAGCCCAACATCTTCAACGATGGTAAACTCGAATTAAAGAAAAGCGCAACAGAAGAAAAAGTCACAACAGGAGCCGGCGTGACGTCACGCCCCCGGCAGCGCGTGTCGCTGGTGAACTTCTCGTGCCTCACCAAGGACAGGATCTTCGTGGGGGCCTCGGACCTCACGAAGGGGGCGCGGGGGGCGATGCGGTGAGTGGGGGGGTAGTGGGAGGTGTTAGTGATGGGGGAGGGAGGCATGGACTTGACCAGTAAGGTGCGGGAGAGGAGGCATGCGGTGAGTGGGGGGGGGGGGGGTAAGCCGAAATAAATTTTTATTGAAGTTACCCATAGAAAATTGAACAACACCAACGTTTTCTATAAGAACAGCATGAAAGAAAACGAAGCTTTTTATGGGTATGACTCTCTTAAAAAGAACGTATTTGATTTGGTGTAGCGTAGAGGTGGGGTGTGAGAGTGATGAGGGAGGGCTGCATGGACTTGACATAGGGGGAGCGGGAGTAAGTGGTGAGTGGGGGGGGAGTGTGGAGAAGAGGTGGTAATATATACATAGAAAGTGATATATTATAATGAAACAAAGATCGTTTGTTGCAATATAGTGCAATTTAGTATGTAGTAAAACTACTGCCGTGAATAATATAATGTCCACAGGGAGTTCTGTCGTAAGACGACCGCACAGGGCTTTAGCCACATCGTCGAGCCACGATCCACGTGGCTCGTGCGGACCTTCTGGGGCATCGCCACATTCGCGTGGTGGGTGTTATTATACAATACAATAACTGCCCTCCGAAAAGGCGTTGGGATCAGAGTCCGCGGTTCAGCGCCCTCCGAACAGGCGTTGGGATCAGAGTCCGCGGTTCAGCGCCCTCCGAACAGGCGTTGGGATCAGCGTCCGCGGTTCAGCGCCCTCCGAACAGGCGTTGGGATCAGCGTCCGCGGTTCAGCGCCCTCCGAACAGGCGTTGGGATCAGCGTCCGCGGTTCAGCGCCCTCCGAACAGGCGTTGGGATCAGCGTCCGCGGTTCTGCGCCGTAATCAATTGGTCTGCATATTCCTGTATGTTTAGCGCCCCATTTAATTAGCCTGCATGCTCCTGCATGTTTAGCGCCCCTAGCCTAATATTAAAGAAGCTCCGGCGCCGCAGTAGCCGAGGGATGCACAGCATTAACGCTCCTGTAATTATAGCAACGTCGCGTGTGTTGACTTCAAAGCAACACGCGAGCCCCGGCAACGTTTCCAGCAGGTCTCGTCGTGCTGAAAGCACGTGTGTTTTTGCGTCGGCATTTAATCGCAGACGTTCCATTTAAAACACGCGTCGGCATTTAATTGCAATTTTTATACATTCATTTGTTGCTACCTGCTAAACAAAAGACGAATCATTTTGCTTCTGCTTTGGCTGCTCCTCGTGAAAAATATACCTGCATTTTAGTGTAAATTACGAATGGTTTTAGTACAATTTTTCCAGGTTCAAGTTCCTCATCTGCATTGAACAGGATTATGTCAAAGCTCAATGACTCTATTTTGTTTTGCTTAAAAAATGTTCCCTCCTCTGCTACTTGCTTTTAGTTGTGCAGTTCTGAGCGGTACGACGAATCTTTGGAATTGCTTAAAATTGGCGATTAGCGATACTGTTAATCTCATTATTCTCACAATAAATGCTTCATTATTGTATTCGGTATTGATTTTATACGATACACTAATTTTCAAATCTACTCTTCTTGACGTACAAAAACTATTTAGTTATAATCAGAGATAACAAAAGAGTCGATGAGATAAGATATGCAAGCCTTTAGTTTGTAATTTATGAATATGTTGACATTTAGATCATGAATCATTCAATTTGTAATTTGGCATTGAAGTCAATTCTATTGAGCCGAAATGCAGATCCATACGTAAAGTTAGTCCTTATTTATAACAAAGAGGCTAAACAACGACGCAGCGTATCTATTATCAGGATAGATACGCATGAAAGCATCAAGGAAAAACTGCAATTATTTCTATGATCTCCGTGACGTCAGAAAGGAAGACGCCTTATTCAATGAAGCGCGACTGGACAGTACAGAGTCGATGTAGCTCTTCAGCACTCGCCTGACATGATTGAACATATGAGTGCGTTTCCGTCATGCAGCGATCAGAAGGCTTTCAATGCGCGGTCCTGCAAATGACGCTACTATTCGCCGATCCATAAGTCTCTCGAGCCCTTGATGTTCTGCACATAATATTTTTTTAACTTCAGAAGGATTTTCTTGAAATTAAGGCCAGATTCTTTGCTGAAGATTCTTCGTTTTTCCTGAAGTGGTATTAAGTGATGCAGTTACAATTGAAGGTTCACAGTGCATCCCATGGACCTGTAAAAAATGCTGCCTCCTCAACCCTGGCCAACCGTATGCCTCATTTTACACGCAAGCTTGGGCTGGAGTCGCTGGCAAATAATCCTGCTCCTAGCAGAGCCCCAAATGGGCTGGCGTTCTGGCCCTAATGCAGGTAATCCTGTCCCTGGCAGAGCCCCAAATGGGCTGGCGTTCTGGCCCTATAATGCAGGTAATCCTGCCCCTGGCAGAGCCCCAAATGGGCTGGCGTTCCGGCCCTATAATGCAGGTAATCCTGCCCCTGGCAGAGCCCCAAATGGGCTGGCGTTCTGGCCCTAATGACTCGCCTCGTTGCAGGATATGAGATGGAGATATCACAAGCAAATTACCTTCCCGTTAACGCTCCTAAGAACGTAATGAAGCAATCAGCTCCAATTACAGATCCAATTAATTTCAACCTTATGTTATAAATTGAGCCGTTATGCTAAAAGACTCATTATCACATATCTTGAATCCACTTGAATCCAATTTTATAATGGTAGTGAAATCTTTGGTCTAGACTCTCGTGCGTCGAAGGAATATGTAATATTAAATATTTGTCGTGTTAATTGAACAAATCTGTCCTAGGCGCTAAATTAATAAGATTCATTCTTTTAAGAAAGTGACTTACGTGCAACTATTATTCCTATTAATAAATAAGTGTGAAAAATTCCTTCCCTGACAACATTCACTCGTGGTTATTTTAATAAAGATTTTGATGTATGCCTATACGAATAAAGGATATACTGCACATATTCGGTTATTTATTGGACCAAAACCCTATAACAAAATGTTGTTATTATTATCAAGTGTTATTAAATCAATTATTTCTCCTGAATCAAATTTGCATCAATTTTAGTAGGAGCAAGCGTCGCACCTATTGCAATGCCAAAATTTTCAGAAAGAATGAAGTAAATATGGAGAAAATTAGCTCCTACAACTATGGGATTAATTTCACGTATATATTCTGCCTTTATTTATGCATATCTGTACTATATACATTTGCATTAATTAATACATTAGTTTCAGATCAGTTAGGCAGAAGTTCTTCATTTGTGAAGGTTTGATTGAAGACCAGAGCATACTTTTTATTAACATTTTTCTTATTTTTTCGATTTTTACTGAAAAAAATGCAATTAAAAATTTTTTGACAAAAAGTATGCTCTGGTCCTCAATCAAACCTGCATAATACATTATTCTAAACATATTTACTGTATATACATTAATCCAGGGATGTGTAGGCCCGTTGTATTCTGTATTATGTATCCGATTATCTTCTCTCCATTATTTTTGAACCACCGGCAGGATTATATTATGGTTTTATTTAAATCATTGAAGAGACGAAGAATTTATATATTGTGCAGTAGCTTTTTCCTTACTTTTTTTATTGGGTTCATTTCTTTTTGTTCCGGCAGTTTCGGACGGTCTTTTTGGTTTCCAGGTTCCGGGTTTTGGTATAATCCTGCTTAACTTTGAATCTCAGCGATGTGCCATTCGAAGGCCGCTGTACTCGGCAACTTTCAGTGAACTGATCAATTTTGAAGTTGAGGAATGTATATACTTTTGTGATCAACGATCTCAGGAGCAGCTTTGAGTTACTACCAGTCCTCATAAATTCCATAGAGTTGAGCTATAATGCTGGGAACGGCGCTATCAGAGCCGCTAGGGTGACTTAAATTTTTTGTGGCTTGGCATTTAGGATGTAGTGAAACAAACTCACTTGGTTCGTTGCAAATTCTGTTTTTTTTTTGTTTTAAAATTAGTTAATAATGCACGAATCGAATAATTTCTTAGTTAAATGATTGAATGAATTCTATTTTTAAAAATAAATTCAATATTAAGATATTAAGATAATGGCGTTTTTTAAATGCTAGTGGAGATGGTGCAATAAGTTTGAACAAGCCATGATATTTCCTTTTCTAGAAAGATCTTGGGTACTTCAATTCCATCAAAGCAATTGCCATGGATTTCATCCGATAGATACGACAGTTTTCGCCCCATCAGATCAGGAACTGAACTGTTGATTGAAATAACTGTAAGTTGTCGGTAATTACAGCTCTTGAATAACTAACCTCTTTAGTTTAAGGACATACTTTTCTCTGGCCTCATTTTCTCGTCTGCACTGAAATATCGAATTAATTTGCAGCAACGAGTTAAGGAGTAGCGGCTTAAAAAGCCCTGATCGACTTCAGTTAAGAGGCTCCGATTCTCAGTTGGAAGTTCAGTATTTAGTTGAATCAGAAATGGAAGGAGACACTCGTTCAATTTCATGGTGGAGACTCAGAAGAGAGCATCAAGAGATTAAACAGAGGGCTTGGGTCTCAATATTGTTAGCGCTAAGACTGTCCAGGCACCGACACGCCGTCTGGGCATTTGTAGTGAGCTTCATAGACTGGCTCCCCGCCTCAGGCTTGGGTGCTTCCTATGGCATTCTTTCTCTATCTGGGGACATCGTCTGAGGTTGTCTACTTGTTAATGAGATCCGCACTTGAAGTTTCTTACGATGTTATATAACTATTTTTTTTGCTACCGAACAACGTTGACATGAAATGTGTGCACTTCATACTTTAATAATTACGACGAAGAAAAATGTCTCAACTTGTAGACACTTTTTACACACGAAAGGGTTTTAACATTACATTTACAGTGTTCTGTTTGAAAGGGATTAGTAATTTTAACGCAGATATTGGTGATTACAGATTAGATTCTGTATACTTTGCTGTTGAATCTTTTTTTTTTCTATCAAACTCCAGTAGATAAAATTTAAACTCAGGAATTTTAGTTTGAGCTTCGCGATCAAATGATCTTAATGCTTGCCAGCATCGCTGTGAAATAATTTATGGCGCTGAGTGTGCAAATCACACAGCGCAAATATTTACACGGATCAATAATACTTTAAAATTTTTTGTAATTTTGGAGGACGAGGTGTGGGTATATTTTATTCAACGGTTTTAGTATATTTATTTGTGTCCTAGTGTTCTATATTATCCTCGTGTACAAGTGTAGGAGTATATCTAGTTTGTTATTATATTTTATTATATTAATTTACATTATTGTTATATTTTTCAATTGTTCATGTACAAATTGCCTAAGTTTCCGCGTGCCTTGTTATAAAATTCGCAGAATTTTAAAATTTTATGTTCAAAAATGTATGAGTTGAAATATGTCATGCGTATTGAGTGGTGTACAGCGCTATATTTTTTAAAGTTCACTAAAAAATAGTATAACATAACTTGGATGGTGTCATAAAAACACGTATAAATGAAAATATTTCACATCACTTATACTGGTATCACGGTGAAAGTTATTTTTCCGCTTTCGGTGAACACTTGTCATGAATAATTACATGAACATTAAATGAGGATTAAAATGAAGTCCGCAGTTTTTAATTTGATGACGCGTTTGGTTATTACCGGCAATATATCGCAGCCCCTTTACTTCAAGTGCCGTCGCTCCCGAGAGCTTAAAAATTATGATTCGATATCATTCATATTGAGTCGCGCATTATGAATCACAGTAAAACAAAGATCAAAAGCACGCGGGGAAATTGTTTAGAGAAACTCGAGTTTAATGTAAATTTTCTCGCCATCTCTGTTTCAATTGCGCTGGGAATTAAGCCTTGATTGCAGTTCTCATGTTAGACCTTCATTTCATAATTAAATTAAAGTACTCCTAATCCAGCAATAATCATTAAGCGATATAGAATTAATAGGAAAAAAGAAACACCCATATGC